AAGTGAGAACAGCTGGATTTCTCCGCTGTGCAGTTTCTGACTAATGTCCAAAATTCTCAATTAATTGTGTTAAAAGCCGAGACGTTTTTAGCTTTTCTATTATACAAGAAGTCCGCATACATCATATCCTGCAAGAAAACATTTTCGGCATAAAAACTGATTTAGGATTCGATAATAGAATAGAATAGGTTTATTGTAGCGCCCCTTGGGCACTTTCAGTCCTCTTTGAACTCAGGAAAAAAATCAAAAACAAACTCGTCAATTTTAACTGCACTCTGACCTCATTTACTTGGGGTGTCTGGTTAGCTAAAAGAGCACGAATTGAGAGTTTGTTTTAATTTAAAAAAGCCTCAGTTCTAAGGGAAATGATAACAAAATTTTCAAAAAATAACGATATGTACAATATAAAAATTGAAGTTTGCAGTTCGGTAGTTTTCGGGGGCATGAATAAGATGTCCTTCATGGCATTTGAAGAACTTTGATATAGGCCTAACCTTGAAATTATTTTCCTGTTGGTTAAATTTCGGTGTGCTCTAGTTTCTGGTTGTCAGTCTATCTGGCCAGGGGGCGGTCGCACAGTTCCTACGTGTTTTTCAGGAGGCTTACCATCGTTCACTGGACTAAGAGCTGGAAAGGATGAATATATATCGGGAGTAAGAAGCATTCAATGGAAAATTACAATCAAATCTGTCAAAATACTATTGAATCATGTATCATATTGTTCTTTTTAATGTAAAATTATAGGAGTAGTCGTCGACTGTTTACTATGGCATAATATAGTTGTATATATGTCTAATATCGCCTTAATATAGACAAAGGCACGACTAATATGCAGGGTTTTATCGAAGGGTATATTTTTACTAGCTTTATAAGGGATATTTAGTGTCAGGTGACATAGCTGATGGAAGCGAGAAAGAGAGGAAAAAATAATAATATCATTATCTGTTCTATGTTTCTCAATGATGCTATCTTTTATAAATTTTATTATTTTTAGTGCTATGTTCCGGTATTTTTCAATCGGCTGGCGTCATCAGAGCCCTTTTGGACCAAATTCAATATCAAAGAAATGATTTGAAAAATGTCCTATCTTACTCAAACATAAGTGTTTATTGTTATTTGAAAGGAAATTCTTAGTTTTTATTTTAATTTCAATTAGAGTTCGACTTTTCCGGATAGAACTTGGAAGACAATTCCAGATAGTCGCATATCTTATGGTGTAGAAATTTGACCGTTGGGAGTTTGTGAATTTGGGAATCCTTATAATATCCTCGTTATTTCTAATATTTCTAGGGGCGTTTTGGTTGGTAATAAAATTCATTTTAAGAATATCTGTGTCGTGGGTGACCTTGAATATGAAGTTTAGACCATTTTGAAGTCTTCTGATCCAGGGTGGTCGAAGACCAATTTATGATATAGTTATAAGTATGAACCCTGGATGCCATCACTTCTAAACAAAGATCTAGTAAAACGTCTCTGAATGCCTTCTAGTTCCTTTAGGCCGTCTGAGGGCATTATGCCGAAGAAAATTAAACAATAATCTAGGAAAGGTAAAACATGCATTTTGAACAGTTGTATTCTAAGTGCATTTTAGGTGAATATTTGCTTACGAATCCACACAGGCGAGTGGCTTTCAGTGATATTTGTTGGACGTGAGGAGATAAATCAAGGGCATTTGTATAGCTGAGACCTAAATCTTTTACCGATTGGGCCTCTGTTATTTCATTATCCTCAAATATTATGGGGGGAAGTTTTTGTTGGCCAAATATCAAGAGACGGCATTTTTCGGGTGAAAAGGGCATCTGCCACTGACTACTCCATTCGCTGAGTTTTCTGACATCAGTTTCAATTGCTCTATGAATATTGGCTCCTGTATTCCAGTTATATGCATATGCAATTTTAAGGTCGTCCGCATACAAAAACGTCTTAGCTGAGACCCATATGGACGATAAGTCGTGATTATATATAAGAAATAGAAGGGGGCCTGGGATAGTGCCTTGAAGTACTCCACTGGTAATAGGGGATGGTTCTTAAACGACGTTTCGAATTTGCACCACCTGGTATCGGTTTTGAAGATAAGATTTAAGAAAATCGAGAAGGTGTGGCCTAATTCCATGACTTTTTAGCTTTATCAGTAGTCTTTTATGGGGGACTTTGTCAAAGGCCTTTCTTAAATCAAAATAGATATTGAAAGAGATATTGTGATTCACGTCAGCATACAAGGAATATGGACATGTAATCATGCTAACCGATAGACAATAAGAGAGCATTGAGATTATCAGCGGTCAATTGCGCGTCTGCTCTAGGATTTTCATTAGCGTCTAGGCGGACGGGATGTTGCGTTTTTCTAAGAGTTCGTTCTTCTCGATAGAAGAGATGCGCGACATTTAATGTGCAGCTTTCGGTGGCGTGTACCTCTTTTAATTAAATTTTACTCACAGCTTTGTGTTGCCAACGACAGTATTGTTATTTTCCGTCTTTTCCAAGTTTGCATTCTGCTATTAAGTAAAATTTGCTTATACTCAGGGCCGCTTCATAATTTGAACAATTTTGTGTCTCGTTACGGATAAAGTGTTTCTGATCTTCGTGCCATTCTTGAAGGAAAATTGTCAACCCTTACGTCTCAGCAGTGTGAGAAGCTCATACCTCTGTAGCGGAAACGGCAATTAAACCACAAACAATAACAAATATCTAACTCTAAGTGGGCGATGCTGTGTGTTATAGAATAAAAACGATAGCAAAAGAAGTATAAGAAAAACGACGAAAGGTAAATAAGTGTACAGACTCACGATAAATAAAGCTTTGTCCACAAGCGTTGGCAGTAGGGTGAATGTGCTGGATAAAATCCGAGACGAAGTCGGTGAATGGGGCTTGTCGCTTAGATGAAGTACGTCGAGTTAAATATGGCCAAAAGATATAATTTAATTCAATTAATTTTCTTAAAGACCCGTCGGGGTCCCATCAAAGCAAGTAAAAATAAATTTACATGCGAATTTAAGACGAGGTAAGCAAAATCTGTACAAAGTGCAATACATAGTTTTTGAGCTTAGAAGTCCGTTAAGCAAAATGAAAATGAAAAAACGAGGGGTGAAAAAAAATACTCCAAAGCAAAATTTAAAAAATTATTGTAGTAATTTAACAGGAGAAAAAAAAAACCCACAGAAAAATAGCATCAGAAAAATACAGGGAGGACTGGCCTGCATGTGGCGGTACAGAATGGAATATGGTCCGACATCAACATGGCCGAAATAAATGTCAGATGTATATGGCATTGTGTAACGGATTTCATGAAATGGTACGTAGGCGGGTCGGTCAGGACTGGCCTGTATCGCCTTGAATAAGAAAAATAAGTGGTGAAATTGAAAACCAGTCTCGAGCTGATAGGAACCCAGATGCGGTTG